TCTAGGAGATGCAGTCATTATCCAGAGCAGAAGGGGAGAGCAGTAGGTCGTTATCAGTTGGGGTTTGGAAAAGACGCCAAAGGACGGGTATCTCTTAGCTGTCTTATTGGAATCTGTGGCTCAGTGTAAAGACACACGACAGTGGCATTTGGCGGCATTGAGTTGAGAATGACGCACTGTGTGTGCAGCTCCGTCTCCGCATTTTTCTAGAACGGAAATATAGCCGAGCGAACATGCATCATTTCCCGATTCGGACACTGGGACATTCCTCAATATGGCACCAGCCCATGCGTTGAGCTCAAGGATAAATCGAATGCCCTACTGGTAGATGCGCGATATGGTTTGTTGTGATGAGTCAAAAATGGTATTTCCAACTAACTCGTTTTGTGACACAAGTTTCGACGGCTATCATCAGCCCTTGACAAAGAAAATGCTCCAACACATGTAATCCCTGCTATTGTATAGCCTTTCCTCTTCTCGAACCTTTGATGAGTCCATCTACGATCCACCAGAAGCTGCAACTCCGGAATATCCACGGAAATTGCCAGTATCCTCTTTCAGCAGAATAGGTAACTCATCCTCCACCAAAGACGCCATCAGATCCTTCTCCTTGGGCTCCCATCCCAGCGCCCTCAGCCGATTCGCTCTACTCCTCGAATTCGACCCCACGACCCATGCAGTATACTTGCCAAAGAGATCGTCATAGTCACTTTCAGGAATCGTTTTGGGTTCTGGTGACTTGATCCGCCCGGCAGCATGCAAGGCTTTGCCAATCGTTGCCACTGCATCTTTGAAGGCGAACTCACGGCCGTTCTCGCAGAAAAAGTAAGGGTTCTCGAGGACCTTGGAGGCGTCGGTCTGCTCAAGCCAATGTAGAATAGTAATATATGCCCGAGCGAGGTCCACCACGTGGATTTCGGACCACACGGAGTCGCCCTTCCCGACATGGCCGGCATAACCGTGTTTCAGCGCAAACCGAGTCAGTGTCGGCATTTGAATCGAGAGACGCTTGTACTTGGGGTTAGCGCCGTAGATCAACGGCGGGATCATGATGACCAGTTTGGCCTTGTTCCCGAGTTTCTTGCGTGCGCGAAGAATGGCGAGGTCGATCAAGCGGTGCGAGGCAGTATCTGGAAGTGCGTCAATCTCTTCGGGCTTGTCGTCGTGGTAGATCTTGTCGGATTTGTATTCGCCCTTGGCGTCGTCGCTCAGGCATGATGTGCCGCTTGTGTGAATGAAGATGGTCTGCTTTCCTTGGCTTGCGCGTTGCTCGACGGCTGCAATGACGGCTTCGACCGAGGGCAAATGGTCTGCCGTGGCAGTATGGATAACAATGTCGCTTGCGAGGGTCTGCTCAACGATAATGTCTCGATCGTCCAGGCTGCCGATGACCGTCTTTGCGCCGCTTTGTTGGAGCTCGGTCGCGTACGCTTCACGACGAGTCAGGGTCGTCACTGCATAGTTCTCTTGGAGGAGGAGATCAAGCACTTCGCGGCCAATGAAGCCCGGGCCAATGAGGAAGACGGATTTGCCAGAGGTCGCCATTGAGGGTAGGAACTAGAACTATCGAAAGAAAACTCGTGTAGAAAAAGGGATGTGTGGTGAAGGAAGTCTTTCAAGCAGAGCACAAGGCTTTTAATATCTCGACTCCTTTCATCATCGAGATGACCCAAATGCTATACCTATCAATTACCGAGTTGGCATGGTCCCAAGGGCCCACTGAGGGGTGGCCATGAGGCTTCTTACGCAAGATTGTCGACACGACGGATTGGCCGAGGGTATGCAGTCAACCACCTGTGATGGGGATTTTAATCATGAATGTCGGAATTGTCTGCATCGCGCTGTCGGACCGCAGGACTTACAAGGACTTTGATGATGATGGTTTCATTTTAGGTGATCCAGCCGCTTAAGCTTGGGATTGCCTGGTTTCCAGGGACTTTGCAACTGGGGATGGAAGAAAAACGAAAGTCACATTAGTAATGAAGGATCCAAGGAAGAACTTTGATCCACTCAGCCGAACCCCACGTGACAATCCGCCAGGCACTGGCCCCTCATCCTGCTTTGGGTCTAGCTTAAAGTACTTTAGCACTACCATATAAGCCTAACCTGTATAAGTAATAACGGCTGAGGCACCTACGGAAAATGGGTTCCATGTCCGACTCTGTTCTTTTCATCTCCATGCCACACTGAGTTTACTGAGCCGATAGCCACTGATTCTTTCCTCGTATCTGGGTGGTCAGATGCGTTGCCAGCCAAAGAGGATAGTGCACGGACGATACTGGTGTTCTCGCGAATGAATTCATGCCTTCTCGATGCACACGCGCTCAGTGAGGCTGTGAGCATCCTGCTCAGCTTGATCTGGCGGGCCGTGAGCAGAATATCTCTGCTGCAGAGACTGCAGCAAATGCGAGCGCGTTCTTCGCCTTGGTGGCTAACGTTTTCGACGTCTTGTGAGTTTGCAGATTTGACTTGCCCTTGCCATATCTCTCGCCTTCTCATCGGGGGTGGAAGTCGATGCCTCACATAGTGACCACGGGAGTTCACTTACTCTGCCTGACTGCCAGCTGCGACTATAAATGGCACAAATGCTGCCAAGAACGTTTGACAGGCCTCAAAGCCCCTGTTGCATCGTCCGTATCTGCGAGGCGATGGTCGGAACCTGCCCCAGAACCCCTTACAGATTTGCCGTCTCAAACGCCGCAAATCAACGTTGTCCTGAACCGACCGGGGGATGAGCAAAAGTACAAATCGCGCAAGGGATTCCCCCAGACCCTTACTATCGGTCGGTCCGTTGCACAGTCGCAAAGTCTTGGAGCCGTGTTGCGGCCTGGCCGATCTCGCATTTTCCGAGGACCGCAAAGTCTAACCCCACACTTTGGTGCGGTGGACGGAGTGGGCACCATGTCGTGAAGACGGGGTTCGAACAAACATAAAGAGGTAGGTAGGTAGGCCAGAGAGCGCCATGGGGGATATGTCCAGACGAATAGCATCTCTGAAAGAGACAAGCGTCGCAAGAAATAAAAACAAAAGTCCTGGATCAGTTCTCACCTCGTGTTGACCAATTGACTACGATACCCGCTAAGCCACTAGCTAGTACAGCACGCTCGCAAACATGCCGTCCACCGTCACCAAGCCCGACCTCGAACACTTTGTCCCCGTGAAGCCGACGTCCGAGCCCCTGGAGTACGCCGAGCTGGTCACGTTGGACCTCTCCACGTTCGACAATGGCCCGGACGCGCGCAAGAAGCTCGCCAGTGAGCTGAACCACGCCATGCGGACCCAGGGCTTTTTCGTGGTGGTCAACCACGGCATCTCGATCGAGCAGATTGACCGTCAAGTCGACATCGGGTACCATGTGCTCACCAAGACGCCAGTCGAGGAGAAGCAACGCCTGCAAGGCCGGATGAAGCAAGAGGGTAGCTACCAGGGGTTCAAGCCCCGTAACTACTGGCAGATTGACCAAGGGGTCAGGGACCAGATTGAGCAGTACAACTGGAACCGCGACCTGACGCTGCGCGAACACCCGTCCACGTTCGTGCCCTTCATCGACGAGGTCCAAGAGCTGAACGACTTTATCCACAAGGAGATCCTGGTCCGGCTGCTGACGCTGTTCGCCATGTCGCTCGACCTGCCCGAGGACTTCTTCGTCAATCTCCACCGGTACGAGGTGCACGACGACTCCTGGTACCGGTACATGATGTACTTCCACGCACACAAGGCCGAGGACATGCAGAAGACGGGCGGCGTGTGGCTCAAGGGCCACTGCGACTTTGGCTCGCTCACCATGCTGTTCAGCCAGCCCATGGCGTCGCTGCAGCTCATGGACCACTTCACGGGCAAGTGGCGCTGGGTGCCGTACGTGCCGGGCGCCATCATCGTCAACGCCGGCGAGATGATGGAGTGGTGGACCGGCGGTTACTACAAGGCCACCATCCACCGCGTGTGCCAACCGCCCGCCGACCAGCGCAACCAGGACCGTTGCGGTCTGTTTTACTTTGTCGTCCCCAACGACGACGTCAAGATCAACACCCTCCTGGACGAGTCGAGCGTGCTCCGCGACGCCGGCGTGCAGAGAAAGTTCGAGCCGGGCACGGAGCCGACGTCCAAGCTGTATAGGTCTGCTCGCATCAGCGCGTACGGGCAGACCGAGGTCTTCAAGGGCAAGGGCCAGGGTATTCAAGAGGAGACTATCGCGGGGATTAAATTGAAGCATTACAACTGAAAGAGGGGTAATCCTCAAAACACAGGGGGATTCTTTCTCTCCTTCTCTTTACTCAGAAGAAGGGCAGATGAGTAGGAGGAGGAGGAGGAGGAGGAGAAGAAAGAAGAGGACAATAATGCTGGAGAAGAATTCCACAACCCGTCAACGCTAATCATTCGTATGAATTCCGCATGTAATTTTTTTTTTCCATCCTGACAGAATTTCAAATGCACACGAGTTTTTCATTCTTTGTTACCACCCCTAGCTCGCAACCAATTCATTCCTGTTTGGGCTTAAGTGGCCCTTGTCGTGAGGGCCGTGGATCAAAGTCGTGTTGTTCTTCGTGTGGCACTGTCGTGGCAAGGTTCCCCTGGATATATGCCCTCGAGGGAGAGTGCCAGGGTTTTGTTGGACCTGGGTTGAACACTTCGTCTGTCAAGGACGGCGAAATGGGTTCGTGTGGGTTCGCGTGGGAATATCTGTGTATCTATGGTGTTGAGATCTTGTGAGGATTTGAGGGTGTGTATAATGTGATTCGTCCGTCTACATATCCAAGTCGATCGGGTCACAGGGGGCCGAAAGCTTCCGTAGAGAGGCAGGCCACAACAAGGGCCCGGCCATTGAACGAGACGTCACAACACCCTCAACACCGTGATGGCACGCTGTCTTTTGTCTATCTATCTATCACCGTGACCCCTCCCCGCCACATTCGCATGCTGCTATGCTTGCGACACTTGCCATCTCAGGCCCTCAAAAGACGACTTTTTCCTCTTGCCATGTATCGCCCGCGCAAAAACGGTCACAAGGTATACCGAAAATCGGGATGCAAATGGCCGAGGCGCGTGGGATCCTGCTGGGTCAGGCGCCAGTCGCGGGCGCCTTGTTCTCTCTGCCTGTTCTCCCAGCGACAGTACAGCATCGTCGAGGTGGTCATGATGCAGAACAGGATGGCGGCGCCGATGTTGATGCTGTGGCCCATGGTGTATTCGGGACTTTTTTTGTGACGCTGTCAGCTTTGGATCCCGAACCACACGAGAGATATTTTTTGTGCGTGTGAGAGAGAGAGAGAAGGGGGGGGGGGGGGGGAGGAAGAAACGTACGCGTCCTTGGCAAGATACGAATATGTCGCGATAAAGGCCGCGCAGTTGCCAACGCCGAGTTGCAACCCGCTCGACGTGGCGCGAACGTAGTGCGGCGCGGCGTTGTTGCTCAGCCATGCGAGGCACTGCGAAACAGTGTCAGTTCAAAGAAACATCCCACAAACGGATTGTGGTCTCACCAAAGGCGATGCTGGGTATAGCCCGATCGCAATGACAAAGGTCGCTCCGTATTTGACGCCAGGGAGATCCGACCCTAGAAGCATCGAGTAGCCCGTCGCGACGAGGATGCCGCCCGCGACCATGAACGGCGCTCTCATCCCGGCTTTATCCGAGAGACGGGTGACGAGCAGGACGCTGAAGAAGCCCAGCACGTTCGGCGGAGCGGTCAGCAGCTGTGCGATCGTCGAGGTGTATCCGAGAGAGTGGACGATGGTGGGGAGGAAGAGCGCATAGGCCTTTTTTCAAACGATGGTCAGTCCCAGCATGTCCCCATAACTTTTACCAAAGATGACTGAGGAGGGGAGAAACGCACATAAAGAGGCACAATGATCATCATGTAGGCGACAGAAGTGAGCCACGGCAGCGGGCAAAAGAGCGCTATGCGCACCCAATGCCATGAAAACTTCTCTTGCTCGACTGTGGCCATTCCATTCGCCGCCCGCGCATCACCATAGACTCGCCTGTGCGCGACGACCCGCTCCTCTGGCGTCAGGAATTTGGCGTGCGTGATGCTGTCTGGCAGAAACATCGCCGCTGTGATTCCAACGAGGACCGTAGCGGACTATTCATGGGATTCAAGGTTAGCTGGAGAGTTGTTGTTGTTGAGAGCATCCCCTTTCGCACTTACACCTTCGACAAAGAAGATCCAAGGCCACTCTGGAAGATGGGTCAGTGCATGGTACTGGTTCGATAAGGGGTATCGCGTCTCACTCTGGTAAGATCCGACCTCAATCTTCGCAAGGCCGGAGGCGAGTAGGCCACCAAATGCACTGCTCAACGGAGCGGCACAGTAGAAGAGTCCAATCCTGTAAGCCATCTCACTCCGGCGATAGAACATGGCAAGGTAGATGAGGATGCCCGGAACGAGACCCCCTTCAAAGAAGCCGAGGAGAAGGCGCCCGGCGATGAGACCCCCCAAGCTCTTCGTGAAACCCGTAAAGGTGCTTCGAGAAGTTGTGTCAGTCAAAATTGTTTGAACGAGAACAGACCTCCCCTCCCGGAACTCACCAGACAAGACCCCAGCCGGTGATGAGGGCTGGCAGATAGAAGCCCGCGCGACAGTACTTGACGATCCAGTTTGACGGTATGTCGACCAAGATGTAGGGGATGTAGAAGAGCATGAGGGCCAGATTGTACTGGGTGCCCACGAGTTTGAGATCCTGCGAGATGCCGGCGATGTTGGCGTTGCCGATGCTGCTGCGGTCGAGGAACGAGAAGAGCCAGATGGCGAACAGCCACGGCAGGATGTGTCGGTCGAACTTGTGCCTTATACGCCCGTCGATCTCTGGATCCGGTTCCTCAAGCAATTCCAGTGACTTGATGGACACCTGGAGGTCCTCTTCGTGGACGGCCACGGGCGTGTCGCCATGTGGCTTGTCCCCTCCATGTGTGGTGGTAGTGGTATCCATTTGATGGAGCCTGTTCAATCGAGGTGTAAGGATGCGTCTCGTCTATCGCAGTCGTCGAATAGATGGGAAGTTCCTGGGTGACAAAAGTGAGAGGGGGGACAGGTGAGACGCAGGAATGTTGCAGGGGAGGAGGGGGAGGGCGTCTCGTTAAGACGGAACGAGGGCGATCAATGCCCTTTTGATGATATCTCAATGCACGCCCGTCTGCCGTGTTTGCGGACCAAGCGATGGCCGCTTCAGCCGACGTCTGTGGGAATCAATCTCCATATCTCTACAGGTAGCAACAGACCGGTGCTGTGGCTAGCATGGTTAGCGACGTGTCTATGTACCGTGCGGCGGAATTCCTGGTGGTGAAAACCCTCAATACCCCCGACGACTAGCCTGGCATATGATCCAGCCAAAGTACTCTCTATTCTAGCTTGTGGCCAGAATCGCGGGTTCTCACACCCCGGACCTTGCACACAATGTTGTTAATGTCTACATGCGCAGCCGGCCAAGTATACCTCGGAGGCCTGTAGAGACATAGTGTGGATTTTGAGCCTAAAACTCTGAAAATGGAAATCTAACATTGGCACTGGTCTTCTAATTATATGCTCATATCTAGATCTAGACTCGGCCAATTTTCGGTAAAGAACTTGTCGAATACGGGCCACTGTAGGTCTGGAATCGGAGTCAGGTTCAAGTCGACCAGGTCTAGTTGGTCGCTGTCCAAGCTAGGCGCAAAGTCATCGAGGATATGGTTGCTGTTTTCATCCCCTATAGAACCAGTCAGACAGCTTGATCGAGGTTTTGCCGGGGAAGCAAGTGTAGAAAGGGGGGAGGGGGCATTCATACCATGGTGGTCTCCATATACATTGCTCTGGCCGCCAAATTCCTGCCGCCACCACCAGAAACAGTCGTAAACCATGCTCATCCCAAGTCGGGCTTTACTTCTGACCCTAAGGCTGTCCACAAGGCCGTTCGAGTACTGAAAGACCTTTCTGCTGGTCCACAACTGGGTGAGAATGATACTGAACCGAGCAAAGGCGTCGTCTGGGCGTACGGCGTGTCTCTTGTGGTAATTGATCACAGCAAAATAGTTCCGTTGCCCGCGCTCCAGATCCAGCTGTTGAGCGACCGCAGCTCTCCCCACGCGGAGAATAGTGATCACTGCGCTGTGCAGGAACTTTGTGATATACATGGGGCCGTATTCGGCCATGCTGAGCTCTGAATCTAGCTCCATAGCGAGCTCGATCGTCCTGCAAGCAAGCTCGTACATTACCAATAGAGTTGAGTCTTCAATCGCGGATCGGTGTTTGAATAAGTGGAAACTTAGGAGATGAAGCCGTGCAGACATGGCATGAAACCGATCTTCTCGGGTCAGCCTACGACAGAAGGCGAGAGAAGCACAGATGGGATGCATTGATATTGACGCACCTATGCGCTCCGGCGCGTCTGATTCTAGTTGGACCAGTCGATCGGTAGCCGAGTGAATGATGGGACTAAGCGCAAGATCCAACTCATCTGCAGGCCTGTACAGCGCGTGATTCTGGATGTATAGAATGGTCATGCTGAGATATTCGCTAACCTTCTTCTGAAACTGGAAACTCGGCGTCATAAAGGTACTCAACTCCTGAGAGTCGTCGCCATACGTGTCGGGAATCACCAAGGGAGGTGTCCCATTGACTGTAATTACCCTGCTCCAAACTCAGAGCCGTAACACTTTTTCGCGGATGGGTGGAAACCAACCTTTGCGAGACAACTACACATGCAGCCCACAGTCTGCCACGTGCCATGCGGTAGGTGAGATCCTGATTCACTTTGGTGCGTGCAAACTCTTGTCCCACGCCCGAGACGTGCAGACCGATGGTGGTTGCCAGTTGCAACACCGCTCCAGCGAGGACTGGGGTAATATCGTTGCTCAATGCTTCAAAGGGCATTGGCCAGGAGCACAACAGCAGGAACGCCTGTATGGTCAGAAGCACAGGTTCCTGTGCGAACAAGGCCAGCTTGGCCAACTTGGAGACTTTGGGACCAAGCAGGATGATCAGCGTTGGATTCTCGCTGTATTTTCGAGACCCAACCGCGATGATTGTCCAGAATAGGAGGGGCGATTGTTGATGGCATTCATTGGGAGTCAAGAGGGTCTCGACCATGGGCACGTAAGCCATGCAATGATGTTTGAATCTGCCACAAGCTCAGTCTTGATATACCATACTCACAAGGCTCTCTAGGCTTACATGGCGAAGCAGTTATCGATGTCCCGTGCCGTGATTTGAAGTTCATCAAGGCTCCGAGGTACTGTCTGGGAGCTCCGGGTGGAAACTGCAGGCAGATTTCTGGCAGGCTCATGGTGGAGGGGAGGCGGGAGCGATGTCGATGGAGGTGTTGGAGCGATGATGCTGGTTGACTCCTGTCCTTGGATCGGCGCAAGGTATATTTGTGGTGTAGCAGCTGGAGGGGTGGGACTGACGACCGGAGGGACAGTCACTTCATGACCTTGGGCCGAGGGAGAGCTATTGCTGGAGGACAGATACAACTGCTTGCGCAAAGTGTCCAGCTGGTTCTGCAGCTCTGTCTTCCTGTGTCTCAATATCAGTCTACACAGCTTGAAAATGGTAAGCGGGGGAGACTGACGTAGGACGTCGTTGTCGCCTGAATTCCTTGGAATAGACACATTGGACACCAACCCGACGACAGCGGGAGCACGGCTCTGGGAAAGTATCAAGCCGGTCACACCGGATCTATGTATGCCCGTGTCAGGAAGAGCCAGATGGCGCAAAGCCCCTGAGGGAGGACAGGGACACAACATACCTTCTGTTGCCGACATTCGGTACAGGCCATGGCTAGACCTTACAGTACAGTGCGTGAGATGCATTGGAGATTGGAGTGTAACGATTGCAACACTGGCGCGGTCACCAGGATCGAGGAATGTGGTCGACGTGAAGTTCACTCGCGTGATGCCAAGCGCTGTTTGGACCAGTGGCAGTACCGATGATAGGGTCTACACATCTCCGACGTCGGGAGTTGGGTGTATAAAGGACACAAGCAGTGGCAAGGCATGGAATACGGTGTACGAGGTCTGGAGAATCAAGACATTCATGCGCATTCGGATCTTCTAACCCCGCGTCCCCGCACCGGCCCTTGAGTCCCCGCACGTTCCACCACTGCCCTGCCTTGCCTGCGCTGCCTGCGCCCTCGTGGCCCTCCAAATTGGAAATTTACATACAAGAGTCCCTCGTACAAGAGAGCATATCAATCAAGCGACATAAAACAAGCAACGCCCCAAAACCCAAACCAACGTCTTCCGAAACTCGGCCATCCCGACTCGCCACTGCGACCTTCGGCTCACCAATAATAGAGAGTCCAGAGTCCGGGTTTGAGATAAGCCAAGAAGAGAAGACGACAACATCCAGTCAACCTCAGATCACGCGTGTGTACCGGAAACTGCGAGTTGCTGCTGTTCCTAAACCAGAATGTCGGACGCGGTACAGGATTTCTACCAACGTCCGAGCAAAGTTACAACTTCGAATGGAGCCTCAATCAACTTCCACGCGAGGGGCTTGAGCAATGTTTCACCGGGTGATACAATCTTGGTCCTGCTGCATGGCTATCCGCAGTCGTGAGTCATCGGGCCAAACTCGGTCCAATCTCGCCGTGCTGGTTTCTAGAGTGCTGACGGTCACAGGAGTTATTTGTCTGTACGCCACTCCCGTCTCAAGACTACGACTAACGTCTGTTGGCATACAGGTTTCGATGGGTACAGCCCGGCCCTGTCCACTCAGCGTGCACAAACATACTGATGACTGGGCTCTAGTTGATACCTCTGCTGCCATCCAACCTACCCCTTTTCGTCCCAGATGTATGTCGACGTCCAGACTTTGTGAAAGAAAGCGTCTACTGACCTCGACGACTGTCTTCCCCTATAGCTTCCCGGCTATGGCGACAGCGCCGCCATTGGCTTGCAGCAGGATAAAAGGACGGTCGGCACTACGGTTCTGGAAGCTCTGAAAAAGAGCCTCCCGAGTCAGGCAGATGAGCGCCCGAAGATCATCATCGCAGGACATGATCGAGGCGCACGGGTCTGCCATCGTCTCGCCGTCGATGCTGGAGATATCTCCTCATTCGAGATTGTCTCGGTGATCCTCCTCGACATCGTCCCCACGGCAGTCCAGTGGGACACCTTCACCAGCGCCAAAAGTGCCGCCTCCAGATTCCACTGGGCGCTCCTCGCAAACGTGGAGATCGCCACCAAGCTCATCGGTAGCCACGGCGGAGGCTCCTGGTGCTCGGAGCTGATCCGTCGGTGGGCAGGCCGCAACGAACAGAGGAGAGCGAGAGTCCTAGATCCCCCAGCCCTCGCAGTCTACTGCAGTCATTTTGACAAAGAATCTGTCATCAGAGCTACTTGTGAGGACTACCGTGCTGGTGCCTTTGAAGATGACGACCTCCAGCGGGAAGATCAAAAGGCAGGGAACAAAATCAGGATCCCGACGCTGGTGGTGTACTCAGAGGCTTATATCGGAGCCACTTACGACGTCGAACCGATATGGAGAGACTGGTGCGCAGAGGGGACCAAGCTGGAAACCAAAGCCATCGGAGACGGAGTGGGACATTTTCTGCCCGAGGAAGCTCCAGAGGAGACAGCCGAGATTATGAATACGTGGATCAAGCAATGGACACCGTAGTGATGTTTACTTCGCTGGACAACGGCAACACCATGATAGCTTTCACAATCATGCTCCTGGTGAAATTGGAGAGGAAGATACTGGCAGACGGAGTGATGATATATCATGTGAGGAGCTTTCCAAGAAAGATGTTTGTCGTATTAAGTCTGCCATACACTCTGACCATCTATGAGGACTGGATTCACCATCTTCCTCCTCAACTGCTACATTGTAGACATCTCCAGCGTATAATCGAGGAGCGGCTGGGACACATTCTCGAGTCCTCCATCAGTGTCACAATCGAATGGCATGATATCCCTGTCGACATCTGATGCAGAAATGTCCGATCGCACTTGGATAAGTCCGAGCATCGGCGTCGGCGACCAATCAACAGACAAGCTTTATCCGGGCCGCAATCGGCGCCGATGTCGACTGGACCAATCACATGGCTGCCATTAACCTCGTCCAAGCTAACGCTCACCTCCTCACCTCCTTCTCCTCCACTACAAGTCCTGAATAGCCAAGGGACTGTCGATCAGACCATTACCAAGCTCGGAGGCTGGATCTGCTATGTCTGAGGCATCCGGTTCTTGGGGCATTGAGCAAGAGTCTGACAGAACCTTGACTGCTCAGACGGCCCGGAGTGCATATTGCTTGTGCGAATAGACAGGTGGTCATCACTCCGAAAGTTTCAAATGATTTCGGACGCGATATATCCATGTGGTTCGTTTTTCCCAACTCTCTGCTTGTTATCTACAGAAAAGTCTAGGGAAAGGCATTCAAATTCCAGCCAAGGTGAGCCTTTCTGAGAAGGTTGACCATCGTCAGACTCGTCTCCAAGTTACTAGGAAATATGTCTCCTCCTACTGGAATCTCCTCAGCCATCGACGCCACTGCACCCAGTAAGCCCGATGGTATCACGGGTCAGTTGTGCACCTGGATCACGAGCACCAAACTGTCTGATATCCCTGACCATGTCATCGAGCGTGCCAAATATCTGATCCTGGACGGCGTTGCCTGCGCACTCGTGGCCGCGCACCTCCCCTGGTCTGAGACCGCCGTCAGGGGCGTATGTACCATGGAACCCGAGGGCGTCGGCCAATGCACACTTATCGGATGGGGGAAGGACAAGAAGTTGCCCCCAGTGGCTGCGACCATCTTGAACAGTACATTTATCCAGGGGTTTGAGCTGGACGACTACCACTCCACCGCGCCTCTACACTCGAATGCCTTGTTAATACCGGCTTTGCTGGCTTCGGTAGAAGCGGCACCCTCGAGCTCTGCTGAGACGTCGCCATCATCAGGTGCCGATTTTCTGCTCGCGTACATCGTCGGCTGTGAGGTGGGACCACGGGTTGGACTGGCACTACACGGTGCCGACTTACTCAGCCGGGGCTGGCATAGTGGCGCCCTCCAAGGCCCTTCAGCGACAGCGGCTGCCGTTGCCTCACTACTTCGACTGTCAGGAGCACAGACGGAGTGGGCACTAGGCACGGCGTGCACCCAAACGGGAGGTCTCATGTCCGCGCAGTTTGGGTCGATGGCCAAACGAATGCAACACGGCTTCGCCGCGCGCAACGGCTTGTTCGCAGCGTTCATGGCCAAGCAGAACTACACGGGGATCCAGGAAGTCTTCGAGGTCCCCTACGGCGGCTTCCTGAGCTGTTTCAGCCAAGGTGCGAGCTTCGAGCCGAAATCTCTACCTCAGGAGCTCATCAGCGGGCTCGGCTCGCGCTGGGAACTCGAAGGGATCCGCGTGAAATTACACGCCGCCATGGCCGGCTTGCACGGGACGATCGACACCGTGGCGGGCCTACAGCGCGCGCACCCCGAGCTCTTCGCTCCAGAAAACCTAGCCAACATCGTGAGTATCGTGACGCAGCACGCCCGCCCGGCGTTCGAACACGGCGGGTGGATCGCGGACCCGACGCAGCCGCTGTCCAGCGTCGCGGCCCAGATGTCGATCCAGTACGCAGCGGCCGCGCAGCTCGTCGACCGCCAGGTGTCGATGGTGCAGTTTGGCGCATCGCGGCTCAACCGGCCGCTGCTGCGCGAGCTGATGAGCAAGACGACGCCGACGCACAATCCGGCCTTTGACGCGACCAAGACGTCGCGCTGGCGCACCGTCATGACGGTCAAGTTCGCCGACGGCACCGAGGTGCAGGGCTCCGTCGAGGCGCCCCGGGGCATCATGCCGCCCGTCAGCAACGACGACATTGTGCACAAGTGGCGCGAGTTGACGGCCGACATCCTCGACGACAGCAGACGCGCCGCCATCGAGAAGTGTGTTCTCTCGCTAGAAAAGATTTCCGACGTCAGAGACCTCGCGAGCCTGCTGGAGGAGCCCGTCAGATGTCCTATCGACGTCTAATCGTGTAATCGTCTAACTCGGCTGGCCGTGGCCGTGGCCGCTAGCTTGCTTATATATAGATCTTGCTGGTGCTGGTGCTAGACCTGGTGTTGATAGTGGTACTACGGCGCCAGGAAAAAAGACCTAGCAGAAAAAGAAAACATCGAATGAACTGTGCTGACTGACTCCCGCCTTTTGGTAAATGTTCCGGACACATATTCATACCCAGGCTACTCTTTGGTGAATCATATAGTCATATAGTCCTATAGTCATACATACATACATACATACATACATACATACATACATACATACATACATACATACATACATACATACATACATACATACATACATACATACAATTCCTCCTCTGGGTTCTCTGAGTGTGAAGACCCAACGGGATGGAAAAAAAAACTATCCCTCTTGTAATTTCAGTCCATGCATTTCTTGTCTATTCCCCTGTCTAAGACTCTTCCCTTTGGTGGATTTCGAAAGAAATCACTTCCGCCAATGTGGATCGCGAGAAGGTCTACGAGGATCACCTTCGTACGATACTACGGAGGTAGGTAAATAGGTAGGTAGGCAGGGATATAAGGGTGGATTGTCACCCGTGGCTTGTTCATCACAGAGCTCGTTACACAGATAAGTGCCAACGTCTAATGAAATATATGTGTCTATGCAGGGAGATAGTGGCAGAGTTATCTGCTTTTGCTATCTCTCCCGACTGGCGACATAAGCACTCAGAGGGTGGTGGGGCTGGCTATATACAGGGCAGTGTCCCCAAGAGGATTTTACACTTGGGCGATACAGTGCCCAGGCATGGGACAACACACACACACACACACACACACACACACACACACACACGGAAACACTGAAAGAGAGAGTACCCTTTTTCTTCCCCGGCTCCAGCTCTGTTGTCGCGAGGGCCGTTCACAGAATATACCTGAAAGCAAGGTGCTGGTCGCCCTCGTCCTCCAAGCTCCGCTCCACGTGCGGATGAGACTCGCCTGCCGCGCGGTAGCGCTCGATCTCCGCGTCCTTGCGTCGGTTCTGGTACCGCATCCAGCAGATGTTGGAGGTGGCCATGACGATGGCGAAGGCCAGCATGCCCAGGACGATCGAGTGGCCCTTGACGAAGCGGGGCGGGTGGTCGTAGACGTGGGTGCCCATGATGGAGAAGCACTGGCCAAAGACCTCGGCCATGGCCCACGTGGTGCCGCGCTTGGTGAAGCCGCACGTGTTGATGCCCAGCCACGACGTGAGCAGGATCACGCTCGGGTACAGGCCCGCGGTGATCAGGCAGGTCGCGAAGATCAGCACGGGCACCGACCGCACGGACAGCAGGATGATGTACCCGACGCAGGAGACCGATAGGGTGAAGACCAGTAGCAGACCCTTGGTGTTGTACTTGTCGGAGAGGAAGCACACGGCGATCAGGAACACCGACGCACAAGCGTATGGGATCACGGTGAACAGCTGTGCCTTGTCTGGGGAGGTTGGATGGCTTGATCAGCAGCTGGTCATTCATGACTCGAGGGGAGGAAGAAACAGGCATGAAAATGGGACAGAGAAGTCAACTTACCTGCAGAGTACCCAAAAGACTTGACAAAAGTCGGGAGGAAATTGCCCACAGACGCAATCCCGAGCGCCACGCCAGCGTTGATGATGGCAAACATGTAGGATTTTGGATCCTTGAAGGTTGCCCAGATCTGTCGCACGTCGATATTGGCTCCCGTGGTGTTATAGTCCTTGGATCTCTCGATGGCGAGTTTGAGTTCGGCCTCGCTAAACAGCCATGTCTTGAGCTTCTTCATCCGGTCGGCAAAGTTGGGGATGACGAGAATGACAGTGGTGCCCACCGCCACGGCCAGGACGCCTTCGATGATAAAGAGCCACCTCCACGGAGCAAGTCCAGTCTTTTCGAGAGTCAGGTGCCTCTGAATGCCAAAAGATATGAAGCCCGAGAAGGCGCCAGCAAGGGTGGCAGCAGAGTAGAAGACGGCTGATTCGACATGTCAGCTCGGGCGAGCACGAAACAAGGATGTAGGTATTGACTCACCGCTTCGAGAGGCCAGCTCGTTTCTTCGGTACCAGAAGGACAAGTACAAACCCAAGCCTTGAATGAAGGCCTGGGCGCAGCCGACGAAAATTCGGAGGGCCAGGACCGTCGCATAGCCCTGAGCACCGCCAATCCCGGCACAGAAGGCACCAAATGTCAGCACGCCGCCGCCAATCAAGGCCGGTGCTGTGACCCAGGGCAGTCTGAGGCAAATATTTCCCGGAAACATGCAAATGATGTAGCCGACAAAAAACATGGTCTGTTGCATTGAGGGTCAAATTATTAGCTCTCCGGATCAGAAAAGGGCAACTGTGGTCAACTTGCCAGGCAATTGTAGAACTGATTGGGAGTGAGGGATAGGTCCTTTTCCAATCCCATCAAGCGAGCATTGCCGATACAATTTCGGTCGAGGTAAGCGACAAAGTAGATGAGGGAAGCCAGGGGGACGAGGACCGCATCCAGCTTGATTACGAGTCTTCTCTCCTCCCGTGGATGGATCTGGGCATGTTCCTCGTGTCCGGCAAAGGCATTATTCTTGATTGAAATCTCCTTTGGGTCTGTCGCATCTTCAAGCATTTCAATGTTTGTACCAAGACCATGTTTGGAGAGATCGGGAGTGGTTGAGCCTTGCATCTTGGGCGAGTGGTTTGTTGGCTATTTCTCGGGCGAGACGACGTGCTGAAGATAAAAGGGAATATGTATGGGACCAAACACATACCTGAAAATGAGGATCTTATACTCGATCACCCGCAAGCTACCCAAGCTGGGGTCACCTGCCATGTCCGATATCATTCGGTTCCCCGAGTCTGGAGCTTCCCCAGAATATACCGCCATGTTTGTGTCCCGCAATATACCATTCCAGATGGGGAATAGATTTTGTTGGAGAGAGGAGGTCAATTGGCAAGCTGATCTTTGGAGATTGGTGCGAGGGAGTCAAGTTTCCCCTTGACGCCGATGGCGATGATATAAGCTCAATCGGCCCGGTTTGCGGCATTGCATATGATTGGCTCATAGCCAGGCTCCTTTCCCGCTCAGCCTTGGCCAGCCACAGAATCTCGTCCTCCGCACTGAAGCCCCGGACATCCACCGTCCTTGCGGTCGCTCTCACTTCCATTCTTCCATCTTACTCTGGCAGCCCTATGATTTATGTTGAGACATCCAGCTACCAACTGCTTTATCGGCCGGGTGTGTTTTAGCACAGTTTTTCTGGAGCCACTCAGGGAGCCAGCCTTACCGGAATGAGCCAGTCCCCATTCCACCCCAGCTTCAGTTGGCCGCAACATTGCCGACAAACCGATCGATGGGCATCTGGGAATGGACAATCACTTGAATCATTCCAATCTGGCCTTTTCAGGTAGTATTCGCCCGCTAGTGCCTCTGGCACCACGTGGCCACAATGAACCAGCTCCTGCACAACATCCAAGACCTGGAAGACGCAAACGAGTTGCCTGTAGAGAATGTCGCCAGGGAAAGGTAAGTGGTTGCTACCCAGTCTTTCGTGGCAACTAAGATCTTGATTGTGGCTTCGTCGTCGTGCATTCAGGATTGACACATTCGCCAGTTACGATGTGAGAGCGCAAGCATTCACCAAGTGTGCCTACGATGTCGAGATCTCGGCTTGTCATGTGTTTATGACAATGATTACAAGAGACAAAATAAACGAGTGTGAGCGATGCCCCCGAAATCGAATGGAACCTGCAGTACGGTCGCTGATAAGGACAGAAAGCTGCGAGAACTCGCTGAAGAAGTCGAGCGACTTCGAGCAGCACAATCTCACGTTGGAAACATATCCCCACCCGCCCCAGACGATTCCTACTCGCCTTCAAACCACCAAGGAACGGGCTGCACAGCTCCAGCCCCTTTGGAATCTCAGAGCGGTGCGGCGGCCTCGAACTCTTCTCCTGTCTTGATCGACTCGCAGCTTCACAACCCACAAGTTCCTGCTCCAGTGCAGCTTCTCCCCGCAGCCGAGTCACGGACATTAGGCAGCGTAACTCTTTCGCCTGCTCAAATAGACAGGCTATTCAAGACGTGAGCACCCTCCGCATTGACGTTCGCAGTTACTCACGGCGAAAACAGGTTCTTTTGCCAATACCACCCTTTTCTGCCTTTCATCGAGGGTAGTGGCTCGCCCGACGACTATCACGCAAAGTCCCCTCTGCTTTTCTGGACTATCATTGTCATCGCAGCGAGAAGAGATGAGGAGGAACCAATTCTGCTCACTAGTCTTTCACCGGCTGTGCAAGGCCTCCTGTGGCAGACGGTACCCAGAGTTCCGCATTCTCGCCCGGAACTGAAGGCGATGATCTTACTCTGTCTCTGGCCATTCCCAACCTCTTCCATGAGCACCGACTCGTCGTATATACTAGCATCGGTTGCGAAGACCGGTGCGATGCACATTGGACTACACAAGCCATATTTTGTCCAGGATTTTTCACGCGTCAAATTCCGATTCAGTCCCGAAGAGCTGCGGGATGCTCTGCTGGTATGGTCGGCATGCTTCATAGCTGCGGAAAAGTACGTACTCGCCTTTGTCCCCTCTACAGGACTCATCTAACAGATTTGGTAGTATAACGTCCTACATCGGACAGTTTCCTTTATTTGTCACGGACGCCACCCTCGACATGATCTGCACGTCTGAGAATCACGGCAATCTCCCTGTGGAAATTTACCAAATGGTTCTCGTCACCCGATTTTGCAATCGCTTTCACAGGGTGATGGCGAGCCGCGAACGACGAATGGCCAGCCTCGGAGAGAATGACAACGGAGTCCTGCTGCCTCTGTATGAGTCTGAACTGAAGGATCTGCGGTGGATGCTCGGACCAGACTTGTCCCGTGAGTTACACTTTTCACGTAGGTAATCTGTGCCACACAGTTCTCACCTAAACGCAGCCACGAATGAAATTGTGTTCCTCTACGCCACCCTCCAGCTCCGGAGTTACTATTTCCTAGAACGCTCCCACCATCCAGCACAGAAAGAGTATATTCTTAAGGGATATCGGGCAGCTCTTCACATCATCTGGAAATGCCAGGGGAGAGAGGTCGATGTTCGGTTGTTGACCCGCGGGCCGAAGATATTCACCCACGCCTTGGCCGTGGCTTGTAACTTTGCGTTGAAAGTCCTTAGGAGTGGCTACTATTCGCAATTCGTCGACGTGAACGAGGGAAGCAAAGCGTTCAACCTCGGCGTGGGTCTCGTCAAGAAGTGTTCGATCGAAGACAACGATCTGCAAGGGAGATACTCCAAGATTCTCGCACAACTTTGGGCAGCCACAGCAGAGCCCGGGGGCCTCCAGCCGGAGCTCAAGGTGAGAAGTCGTCTCGCAGCCAGCCTCCTCCACGACACTCTCTGGAAATGGCGCGAGAACTTTGGAGGGCAACGAAGTGGTCGAGCCAGCGCTGCCCCTCAATGCGACAACGGAGGTTCTTCCTCGTTTGTGCCATTCGCAGGCAGTGGCAATACAAATGCCGCATGCATAGAAAGAGACGGAGAACAGAACCTCGGTCCAGATGTCCTCGTTGCTCAGGTCGATACTGGTTCAAGAGGTCCCAATGCTCCGGGCGCACCCCGTCCCGCGTCTGCGTGGCTCGAAGAACTAGGGGAGATGGACATGGGGTTAGTCGAGGAGACCAACTACCAGTGGTTTTGGAACCATGGCGGAATCTCGACTTTGATGGCGACGGACCTAGAAGGCATGGAACTGCCCCCGGATTACATCTTCAACAACCAGCGAGGGCAGGAGCCTCCGGACTAGGCAGAACTGTCTTTTCATCGCGGCAAGGTTTGAATAGAATGTGATCTCTTCAAGGAAGACAGACAGACATCTGCACTCCCTCGTAGCTCAGTGTCCACATGGATGAGAAGTTGGAAAGATTGATAGCTTCCAGGCCAAAGTCACAAATTGTGAAATAAGATACGAATGTAATATGGTTTCGAATTTCTTCGTCCCTAGTTGCTGAATTTATGGTTACCTGCCCTGTTAGCAGCAGCACGTCCATCCCCGCCGTATAGACGTAGAGAGTGATCTTGAGGATTCACACAAGGCGTATCTAGAGGCTCTGATCGCATTGTCGGCACAGCAGTCAGTTCATAGTCAGCCAGTCAATCAACAAAGCAAGCAGACTCATCCATCCCGCACCTGATAGTCATCCCGACTCTGACCCTGACCCTGACCCTGACCTTGCTCCTGCGCGTACGGCCCGGCAACGGACCGCATTACGGCTTTCTTGTGATGCTGACGCGACGCGAACACACCTCGCAGCTCGAACCTCGTCCCTCGACCTCAGACCGTTCCTGCGGCCGAGAGAGCACCAGAATTTCAGACGGACGTCTGATTGATACGATTGTTTCGGCCCGCCAGTCATGTCCCGCTGGCCGCTTCTCGCTTTCTGTTTCATTGCCCACCGCCCCGGTACATGGCTCGTTCTGAACAAGACGGGATGGGATGGGATAGGAGAGGAGAGGGGATCGACGGGGTGCTAGCCTGCTCGTAGACCAGCGACAATTTGATATTCCATGCATTTCGGGACTCAGAGGTAGGCCCTTCTCAAGTGGTCCAAACGCGAGGGTAGTAGTGAGGGAGGAGTATTTCTCGAAGATTTCATTTGTTGGCTCCGTTGGATTGGGTTGGGTCAGTCGAAGCTAGGAGCGCATGGGTGGGTTGGGATGGGGTGGACGAGGTATATAACATAGTATATATATGTATAGTTATACACAATTAAGAAGTAATTGTATCCTAAGGACAGCGTTCCACGAAGAAGGAAAAGTCCAAAGGATTTCTCCCTAGCCAAGAACACACGATCAAGGAGGCCACAGTCTGAAGGGCCATTCTCTTCAAGATCAAACTATTGCCAGAGACACAAATAAGGAGTACCAGTTACACACTCGGTTCACAATGGGGAGCGCGGCACCTACAATTACACCAACCTCTACCCAGACCTTCGATGTCATCGTCGTGGGAGGCGGCAACGCCGCCCTTGCAGCAGCACTCTCCGCCCACGACAGTGGCGCTCGTGTTCTTGTCCTAGAGGCCGCGCCCAAAGAAGAGCGCGCTGGCAACAGTCGCTTCGCAGGGACGGTGTTTCGGGCTCCGCACAAGGGCATGGAACATATCAAGACGTTGCTCTGTGAGGAGGCCATGGACGACACGAAGCTCTGCACCATTGGTCCGTACACGGAGGAGATGTGTTTCGAGGACCTAGCCAAGACCTCCCATGGGCGGCTGGACAGGGACATCGCCGAGGTGTTGGTCCAGCAGGGCTGGGAGACGTTGGAGTGGATGAAGTCCAAGGGCCACAAGTGGGAGTTGATGATTCGGAAGTATCACAATGTTGAAAATCTGGCGGCGAGAGGCGAGACGATCAATATCTACGCCGGCGCTGCGGTCATGGCCGTTGGCGGCGGCGTGGGTCTCACGGATGCATGGTGGGCAGCTGCTGAAAGCCTCGTTCCTGGCGGGAGAATGACTCTGTGGTACAACAGTCCCGTCCACGACCTTATCTGCACCGGAGACACAGTGCACGGAGTCAAGGTCCGACACCGCGATGCGTTCACAGACGTCTATGGCAAGGTGGTACTCGCCAGCGGTGGCTTCTCGTCCAACCCGGCCATGCGTCGCCAATACCTCGGCGAGGGATGGGACTTGGTCCTCGTGCGTGGAACCAAGTACAACATGGGCACGATGCTCAACCGTGCCATTGCTGCGGGTGCTCGTCCGGTCGGTCACTGGGGCGCCGCCCACGCCTCTCCCCAAGACGCCAACGGTCCTCTAACTGGGGACATCGATGTCTCCGTGCATATGCCGCGGTACGCGTACCCGTATGGCATCACAGTCAACATCAAGGGCGAGCGATTCTTCGACGAAGGGGAAGACGACTTTCGCAAGACGTACGCAAAGACCGGTAAGAAGATTGCCGACCAGCCCGAGGCCCGGGCTTTCCAGATCTTTGACCAGCAAACAATTCACCTCTTACCAAAGCGATACCAGACGGCAAAGCCCATCTACGCTGACACAGTCCAGGAGCTCGCGCAGAAGACGGGTATCAATGTTGCGGGTCTGCTGAAAACGATCAACACCTTCAATGCTGCCTGCTCCGGTGATGTTAGTAAGTTCAACCCCACGAAGCTGGATGGGCTGAGAACGTCCTCGGAGGCGGATTTGCCATTTCCCAAGACCAATTGGGCCACAAGGATCGAGAAGGCTCCCTTTGTCGCATACGCTGTGGCATGCGGCATCACCTTCACATATGGAGGGATTGCCACAGACACCAAGGCCCGTGTGTTGAACAACGAGGGACGACCGATGTCGGGTTTATGGGCCACAGGGGAGATTGCTGGCGGCCTCTTCTACCACAACTATCCGGGGGGTGCTGGCCTGACCAAGGGAGCTGTCTTTGGCCGGATTGCTGGTCGCGAGGCTGCAGTCGCCGCCGCGAGAAGTTCTCAGGCCACCGAGTCAAATGCTGCTTGACGCATAGGTAGTTATGGGATTGACCATTCGAGGATTGCTTTGACCTAGATAGATACCAATAATCATTAGCAGTGAGTTTCTGAATGTTTTTAGGCTATTCACCTGGCCAGTCTACCGTCCTCAAGATACGAAATCCCTTGGTTCTTTCGTTTCATGTAGACACTCTCACAACAACACCTCTGACGAAAGGATGTGCTCAAGGCTGAACGGGGAGACGGGATAGGCTCAGCCTTGTCTGTGGTCATAAAGCAGCAAGATCAGAAGAGTGCTCTCAGATAAGAATGTGGGCAGACTCCATAGGGCAGCGTATGATGCTTACCTAGATAGGCTGCGTCTCATGCGCATGTCACAGAGTCTTGATATGCTTTCTTGAGATCACCCACTCCTGAATCCAAGTGATGCTGTAGCTTCCGACTTTTATCACTTGTTCTCACCCGACTTCATGTCTCTGTCTATGGCGAGATAACCTCGCTAATCACGCCAGATGGCCCTGCCCCTTCCAGGATCCCCTTCATCATCGTGGGCCATCTTCCTTGAGCGGCTCAAGCAAAGCTTCAGCGGCGCTGACCCTCGTGTCTGCGTCGCTTTCTGGCTCTTTGGTAAGTTTGCGTTGTGATAAGGCGGTAAGATTTTCACTCTTACTGTTACAATCTTGACAAAGAATTGGATGATGGGTATATCGAGACTAAAGTTGCGCAGGCCTCATCAACAATGTCCTCTACGTAATCATCCTCTCCGCTGCCCTTGACCTCGTCGGTCCCAATGTCCCTAAAGGAGTTGTCCTTCTCGCCGATGTGATCCCCTCGTTCGGGGTCAAACTATGCGCCCCTTACTTTATTCATGTCGTCCCCTACCCGATTCGAATCCTGGTCTTTGTGGTGCTATCCGTGGCTGGCATGCTCTTGATCGCACTCACACCCGCTTACACAGATGGTGGAACAATCACCACTAAACTGGCTGGAGTGATTCTGGCATCGCTGAGTAGCGGTGGAGGGGAATTGAGCTTCTTGGGGCTGGTCCATTACTACGGGCCTTTTGGCCTGGCAGCATGGGGCAGTGGCACAGGAGGCGCTGGATTGATAGGAGCTGGAGCATACGCACTCGCAACTACAACCCTCGGCCTCAGCGTCGGCACCACACTACTGGCTTCTGCCTGCCTACCGGCTGTTATGCTGATCAGCTTCTTCCTGGTCCTCCCTCTGGAGCCTCTCCGATCACATTCCAAGAGACATCACAACAGTAATGCTCTGCTGCGGGATGACGACAGTGACGATCAAGAGCAGAGAGAGGGACTGCTTTCTTCTCCAGATGCCGTCAAGCCGCCCTTTTCTTCGAAGTCCAGAATGTCTGCGTGGTCGTTATTCAGGTATAACTTGAGCCGGGCGAAAGGCCTTTTCTTCCCTTACATGCTACCGCTACTCATGGTATACGTGGCGGAATATACCATTAACCAAGGCGTGGCACCAACTCTTCTGTTTCCGCTTCAGAGGAGCCCGTTCAAACATTTCCGAGCCTTCTACCCAACCTACAATGCGATATATCAAGCCGGGGTGTTTATATCTCGATCCTCGACACCGTTCCTCCGCATCCACAATCTTTACTTGCCGTCATTGTTGCAAGTGGTCAATCTGGCTGTCTTGACGCTACATGCGCTGTTTGACTTCATCCCTAATGTATATATTGTCTTTGCAATCATTTTCTGGGAAGGCTTACTGGGAGGCCTCGTCTATGTCAACACCTTTGCCGAGATCAGCGAAACGGTACCTAAAGAGGACCGCGAATTTTCCTTGTCGGCGACCACGGTGAGCGACTCGGGCGGGATCTGTATTGCGGGATTCCTCGGCATGGCGTTTGAAGTTTGGTTATGCAATTGGCAGGTTCGGCATGGGAAAGACTACTGTAAGAAGTTGTGACGCGAGTCTGGAAGGATACGGATGGGCTGGTTCATTTGCCTTTCTTAAGTTATGAGCATTATGATGCCGCGCCTTGGTGAGGCTGTTTGGATATGAGTCCCGAACTGTGTGATAAGTGTAATGTCACCTTTAGGAGAGCCCGGCCGGAAATGCAACTCACAATAACCAGCCATCTTCCTAGGTTGCCAGCTTCTCAATGGATAGTTTGGGACTCGAAAGTCAGAAATGCACCAATTCTGCACACGGTCGATAGCGTGGAGAGCTATTCAAGGAACATGTTCCGTGCCGGAAACATGGCCGAACCGTACGTCGATAGTCAGAAAGCTAGATCTCAGACATGTGCAAAAGAAAGGAGCAAACAATGTGTAACGGTCAGGACGGAGTAAAGTGGATATGATATTCGGACCAACGAAGGGAAATTCTTTGAATGTTGTGAATTCAGCCTCTGCTTTTCTCGCCGCCTCAGGTACAAAACGATGCCTGCAGGGATTCCTCTTGTGATCATCATCTTCCCCCTTCAATTCGCCGGATGTAAACACACCACCACCAATGCCTCTTCCGAACTCCATGTGCTCTACAAGGTTCAACTAACTCTGCTGGCTTATCGTATCCCGAGCCGCAGTAGTAGTGGGAATAGGAGGAGAGCTTCTGCTCCAGACTTACCGAAGTTTTTTTCTGGGTCTGGCTTGATATTACTACTTGACTGATCCTGGTCCGTTGCCTACTACTGCTCCCCCCTCGACCCTTTTCACAGGTAGCGGTGAGGCTGAGGGTACCTCTCCGTTTGAGCTCAGCCCTACGCACCGAACAGCAGCCTCCTTCACCGCCGACGGGAAGAACACGATCGATTGTCAACAGATTTACTCGAACCAAAGTACTGGTCAGAGGGCAAAACGAGGACCGAAAGACAAGCAGAGCGCAGCTTCGAGGAGCATGCGAGCAACAAACAACAAAATACCAACAAGCCTGGGATCTACATTGTGGAACAACACCAGATTTGAACGAATGAGATCCTGACGATCGCCGCCTTACTAGATCGGAGGAGTCAGCCACTTTGGACCAAGGGCGCAGAGATGGATTCCAACTACAGCAAGCCTTACAGGGTTTCAAGGACAGCACAGGGTATTAGTTGGACACACTCCGAAGTTGGACGTAACCCTCCCTTCCCTGACGCTTCAATCATGACGCGGAGACCAGACAATGGCGGACTCGATGAAATGCAACTCTTACAACCACAACCTCAGCGTCAGCACCACGGGCAGCCGAGGGCAGAGTGGTTGGCAGGAAGAGGACTGTCAACAGAAAGCCTCCGATTCGGTGGCCAGGCTGATTATGAGCATGATGATACAAGACCAGGTACGTGTGTGTGAGTGAATATGCAAAATGCTGTGCTTTGTGAGATTGTCAGCGAGCAAGGTCTCGAACCCGCACCAATGAGAGAGGAGATATAATTACTCTGTCTGGGGGTTTGTCCAACCCAATGCGTGCCATCCTATGCACGTTCCCGCGAGTCCCCTACTTTTGTCAGCGTGCAGACGCTGGGCGTGTCATGCAACCGACGTGAACAGCCACAAGCAGAGGCAGAAGCAGGCAAGGAATAGAAGAAGAGGGAGCAGCAAGGACCAGCGCACTCGATTCTTCACCGTCTTCCCGACGCGAGGGTGTCGCCTTTTTTCGCCCGGATACTCAGTACCGCATCGGCCACCGCCTTGTCGAGGAGAGGCCATACCATACCAAAAGAGCAAGGATCCCGTTCAGGGCCCAGAACCCCTTGAGAGGAAAGCGACGTCATTGGCAAGATAGACTTTGTGTGGGCTTGCTTGGGTCGGGCAGGCGTCTTTTAGCTAACGAGGGAGGCGCATCCACTCCCCGGCACGCCCCTTGGGCCTCGGGAGACGCCAAACGAACACGCCTCTTCAAGGTCAGGCGTGGGCATGCCACCTGCAAGCCCTGCAGGCCGCCGCTGGAGCTTCTTCTGATCAGGCACACGGTATCCCTGTTTTGGGTGGATGACTTGGTTTGTTTGGATGACACCCATCGACACCCCCGTCAGTTGTCGCCTGGCCCCACCCACTGACTGACGAGCTGGGTACCTACTTGACCTACCGAGCTTTTGTACCTTGCCCTAGAATCCGCCCATCAGGACCAGTCCTTTGTTTTTTGGGGGAAAGGAAAGGGCGGGATGCATGGGTCTGGGTCTGGGTACGAGCATGGAGGGACCACCCACCCCCCTTAATGGGGATACCTAAGGTGCTAAGCTAGCTCGCCCAAGGGTCTGCTGGTTCCTTGCTTGCTTGCTTGTATCTCTTGCCTTGGTTGCTTGCCCCAGAGAGCTTTCTGCCCTTATTACCATCACCACTGATCGCTCGGCGTTCCACCTTTGCACCCAGATCCACCCCCGACTCGCTGGCGACTACGGCATCCACACCATCCCATCTGCGCATGATTCTTTCCATCCTCATCCTCATCCTCATCTTCACTCTTACCCTTCAATTCTCATCTGCCAACCCTGACACCCCTTGCAACGCAACATGCATTACCCTCCATCTCGTCTCTCTTTCGCGCACACACATTAACAGAACTCATTATTGTTGCCATTTTTGCCACTACCGCCATACGCAGCACTCTTATGCATCGCTAACGTCTTGTTCCTTTTTTTCCGGCTCCAGTCGCGGCAGTATCCACATCGCATTCTGCGCAGCCTCCGCATCACGATTTGCTACACCAGCGTCTCCTCCCTGGTGATCACCGTCTAGTATTCCACCTTCCTTCACCTTTACCGGATCGCTCTCAATTTCACAATCCGGCCACAATGGCGATGCCAGGCCATTCACCCGCCTTCAACGGGCCCTCGAGTCCTTCTCGTTCATTCTCTGGTATGCATTCACTGCTCCCGGATCACTTTGCCTACCATAATCAGGGTGCGCAGTGTCACGGGGGATCATGCGACGACTCACACTTCCATGTTTTTACTCTCCCACACTTACATTTCCTCCTCGCACCATGGCTTTTATATTGCTGCCTTTTCTAACCTCTCTGTCTAGGCTACTCCGAACCTCAGCAGCCTCCAGCAATGTACGGCCATCCTCGCACCATGCTACCGCCGTCGCCACAGCATTACCCTCCTCCACGATTTTCTCAGCCGCCGTTACCAGCGAACTCTGCTGCCATTGCCGTCAACAACGGCGCACCGCCTCCCCATAAGAGGCCGGGGAGTAGCATGTCGATCTCGTCGATGCTGGGCTCGGAACCAGAAAAGCCGGCCCATGAGCAGTATCACAACCATAACCAGCCATCCAGACAACATTCAGGGACTCTCTCACATCCCGGGCCCTCAATGTCACTGGGCGCAGTCATGTCACCACCCCAGTATCCAACGAAACAGGGTGGGGGCCCGACTGAATACTCGTACAAGCCAAGATCAAAAACTCCAGACAGAATGGCTGGACCAGCATTGGGGGCAAGACCGCATCGATCTAGTTCGGGAACCATGACCCAGCGACCAGGGCCATTCTATGAACCTCCTCCACGGTCAGGGCCGAGTCAGTCAAATATGAACCCGTACCCCGAACCAAGATACACCCCCCCCTTTGGTCCAACGGTAATACCCAAGGATGAATTCGAGGACCGCAGCCGTCGCACAAGCCTCGGTGGTATTCTACAGCGACCGGAAAGTCAGCCCCAACCGATCAACATCTCACCACCATTCCCGCCCACGTCTCATCCTCCGGCTCGACCAGAGAGTATACCTCCCTCTCTTCCGCCCATCGACCGGGGCCCGGGCCAACCAATGAACGGCCACGATCCTCCACGTTCGAACGGGCTGACCGGCCCCTATGACACTCGTCCACCTAGCTTGCCAACTCTGTCTCGTCTTCCACAAACAGGACCTCCACTGCAGCCTGTGTCTGTACCCCATGATCGTCCTGCCGCTCAGTCCCTCTCGCCCGACCTGAGACGCACGCAGCTAAATGGTGGCGAGGGCAGACTGGCCGGAATCCTCAATCAACAAGGCGATCCAATATACAGTGCTCCAAACATGATGCGACAAGACTCGGTGCAGTCGCTAAGCGATCGTTCCGTTCTTGGCGATCGCTTGCGAACTAACCGAGCCTACTCTCCTTTTGCCGGGTCGGTTGCTTCGGGCCCTGTGGATGAACAAGTCCGTAAAGGCAGTGAAGAACTATCACAACACAGAGCCATTCTCGGCCTTGCAAACGAATCCAAACGTGGACGATATTCACCCGTGCCTCAGGCGGTGCAAGGTGCCCAGGCTCAGACTCCAACACCGGATGCTGGCATTAAGAACGAACACGGTCGAGTCTTTGCTGGTATTGGAAGCGGTCTTGGTTCGACTTCCGCTGCCCCGACTCCCACACCGCAGGCTTTGCCGGCAAGTCCGTTCAAGAGGGATGAAGGGGGTGCTCGCTTGAGTGAAGAGAACCTGATGAAGATGTCCCGAAGTAGCTCAGGTATCAGCAAACGCAACCGAAAGGTTTTGGACGAGGACGTCAGAGCGGAAAGTGACGTGGGCGAGGTGAAGAAGCCGGGGCCAGGACGGGGAAAGAGAAGCAAATACTCGCATTCCTACAAGTTGGACCTTGAGGACACTCCAGCGGGACAGCGAAAGAACGGGGGCTTCCCAACATCAAATCCTGTTCGACGGGGAGGCACCCCGACTTCCAATGCTGCGCAACAACTTCACAATCCACAAATTCCGCGGTCATCTTCGCCAGCAGTCCGGCCCACTTTCAGACCCAAGAAGGTCATCAGAATCTCCTCGGTTGTCGCACAAGCTCGACTGAACCCACGACGCCACCTTGGCTTCTTCAAATATGAACCTGTCATCGGCGTGCCCGACTTCAACCGAGCGCAGCCGCAGAAATTTGACGTTTCCATCCAGCCCAATCTCCTACCATCCTTCAAGGACCCAGATCAGATCAATTGCACCTACACAGTGAAGGTGTCGAGTTTATGGCTTCAACAGAAAGAAAGGAACCTCATTGGCTGTGAACAATACCTATGGGGGTCAGGCATTTACACCGACGACTCAGACCCTGTGGCAGCTGCCATGCATTCAGGGTTTATCCAGTCTACCCACATTGAAGATCCCCTTCTGAACAAGCTCATTGACGAGCAAAATCCCCGAATCGAAGGTCTATCGGCGCCGGATACTCCAGCTACCATACCAGAGGGGAAGGATCTGCACATCACTTTGGTTGTACTGCCGCAACTCGAAAGTTATGCCGACAGTGTCCGCTTTGGTATCAAAAGTCGCAGTTGGCCTGAACCGAGCGCGGGGACATCTACAGACCACCCGGCACCGCATGATGGGGTGAGCTTTATGGTTTTGAAGACACAATTTGTTGACGATGGCGTGATGAACCGGCGCCTTGGGCGGACAGGAGAGGAGAGACGCAAGAGATTGCGCGAGGAGATGGCGGATCGCAAGCGTGGATTCGAACTTATGAAGGAAAAGATCGCGATAGCTCAGGCGAAGGAGAAAGAGAGACTAGCAAAACTGAGTCGTCGCAAAAAGGAGCCGCTAATCCAGGGTGAAAAGGGCTCTGGGAGGGCAGAAGAGAGGATTTGGGGCGCTGGCCGTTCACCCGAAGGCGAAGAAAAGGAGAACCACTTGGGCGGTAGCAGCAACACGGAACAGCAATCGTCCGATGGAGTAAAGGGAGGCCCGGCTACTTCTACAGAAGAGATGATGAAGCTTGATGGAGTGGGGCAGAGTCCGGACTCGTGGATCAGGCAGCTTAACGACGTCGCCGCCACTGCTTAGAACGTTAGTGGACAGTATCGACACGAGCGACCGAGCCACGGGTTGTTCTCTTACCCCGAGACGACTACTGTTTCTTCGTATACAACCAGGCAGCCAATTCACCGTCACGAGTTCCACCCTCGCATCGAGCCAGATGTGGCCCTACCTACAATCGAGCATGATGACAACTCTCGTATCAAACAAGATCGAACCTATCCTATACGCCCACCCCGAGTGAAGCGGGACGCTGGCGACGATTTCGAGGGCGAGAATTGGCTGGATGCCGACGACGATGTTCTTCGAGCTCGACTCCGCAAGCGAGGGTTGAAAATGGACGATATCCCACTGTTTTGAAAGGTTGGCTGGACATGGCTGTGATGGGGTGTTCTCCCACCTCGACTTGTACACGGCCGGAATTTGCTTTCTGCATCGATGCATGTGAGGTGCTTGCATGGTTTTCCAAAAGGGAGGTTTTGAATGAGAAGAAACAACGATTACGATTTGACAATGAGTATATATCACAGACGAGATAGACCAGTTGGGTTATTGTTTCCAACTGCACGTCGGACTTCGCTGGGCTCCTGGGTCGGGGGAGTGTACTCATGTACCTTTTGTTAAGAGACGCGAGCAAAAAGCTGAACGGGGCATCATTACGACGACAACGACGAGGACGAAGGTGACAAGCTCCGGCCTCTGGCTGTTGGACGTCACAAGAAAAACATGGCGCTTTGGGTCGCCTCAGAGGCTGAGACTCCAGGGTGGTATGGATATATCATATGTATGTACCTTGTACATGTAGTACGCTACGCATTTCGAGTCGTCACACAAAGCACGACTCTTTGAACACTTTGAAGAATCACCAACTTTCTCTCCACGATGAATGAAGTCAAACAATAAAAGCATGGCCCGAGTACCGAGTAGTATATAGCCATTGAGTCAGTTGTGGAACTCTTTGTGATGTCCCGTCGTTTGAATGGGGAGGGGGGTTTGAAGAGGTAGATAGGTGAGTAGGTGAGTAGGTGTGTATATTTGGATTTGTACATCTATCCATCCATGTATCTGTCTTCTCTGTCATGAGGACCACGCAGGGACTACGCGACATTGCGTCTCTGCCTCGATGCAGTCGCCGTCTTCTGCTCGCCACCAGCAGCACCGCCAAACAAGTCGCGCCAGAACTGCTTGAAGCCGTAACTCTTGTCGTCGCTCTCGTCGCGGATCGTGCCCATATGGCCCGTCCACTCGTCGGCGCCGAGCCGATCGAGCACTCCGCCGGTGGTGGTCCCCCTACTCCGTGCGACGACGCGCGTCACTTTCGACGGAGGCCGCGTGCTGCGCTCGCGGATCGCGTCGGCCAGCTGCGGCGCCACGTCGGCGAAGCACCGCCGCAGCTCGCGCTCCAGCGTGTAGTACGGCTTCTGGGCGATCTTGGGTGCCATCAGGTTGTACGAGCGCGTCAGGGCGTTGAGGTTCGCCACCGCGAGCGTGTGGTAGGCGAGTTCGGCTTGTTCCCATGCCGGGTCGCGGAAGGGGCGGGGCATGGGGAGGACTTGGTCGGGCGAGGAGGGTGATGGTGACGTAGAGGAGGAGGGGGAGGGGGAAGAGGGTGGTGATGGTGATGGTGTGGGCGCCTGCGTTTCGGATACAGTAGAGATCGTGTCTGTATCAACTGCCGCTTCTACTGCTGCTGCTGCCGCCGGCGATTCCATCGAGGAATCCGCAATGGGGGCGTTCTCGGCGGGCTGCTCGGTGACTCTGATCTCAACCTGCTCCCCTTCTGCAGCCTCGACAGGCACTCCCGCGGCGAGCCGCTCTTCGACACTTACGGTCGTCAAGCTCCCGTCGCTGGCGATGCTGCTGATGTTCTCGACCCTCCTGGCCGGGCGAGGATTCACCCTCTCCTCCGCCAGCGCATACCCCTTGGCGCGGCGCACCTGGTCGTCGACCGTGCCGCCGCGGCTGGAGATGGAGCGGGCGGCGTGCCTGCGCCAGTCGCTGCGCAGGCGACTCCGGAAGGTGGCCACGGCCTTGACCAGCTCCTGCTGCTTCTCGATCCAGGGCGGCACAATCTCCTGCTTCTGGATGATCTTGTTCATAAAGTACTCGGTCGTGTCGAGGAAGGGCGAGTTGGCGTTGTAGTCGCGCTCCACGTTGATGCCCTTGCCGCGGCTGATGTTCTTGAACTGGCCCCGCGCGATGGCGTCCTCGATCCGCTCGTTCGCCAGGCTCGTCAGCCCCGTGATGCTCGTCGGCATCGGTCGCGCCCCCGGCGAAAACCGGTCCTTCAGCTCCTTGCGCCACTTCTCGCGCTCTTGCTCCGTCATGTCGCTTTGCTGGCTGATGGCGTAGATGGACGTCTTGTCCCGCGCGCTGGCCAGTCGGTCGGCCGCCGAGATGTTCTTCTTGGGCGTCGGCCGCAGGTTGACTTTGGGAGCGAGAGAGGGCGTCCGCGGGGGAGACCGCAGTTTCTTGTGGCCGTCGTCGAGCATGCGGAGCACCGAGTTGTGAACGGTCTCTGAACCTCGCCAGGGTCCTGCGCCTGCGATATCGCGCGTGCCCTTTCCTGCGGCATTCTGTCATGTACATATAGCTGTTAGTCCACGTTCTTGTTCTTCTTGTTCTTCTGCTGCTGCTGCTGATTCTGCTCCTCCCGTCTTATTACCATTCGCCACATCGCACGAATACCGGAGGAGAAAAGGAGGTAGGAGGGGGGGAGTCTGTTCGTACAGGCATATTGATTTGGCTCGCGGCCTGTTGATTCTGCGCCGCACCGCTCGTCTGTGCAATCCGCTCTTCCAGCTGCTTCTTCAACTCTTCCGAGAACCCGGCCTCTTGCATCAACTTGCGATCACTCTTGCTACCCGTGTCCATCGTCTCCTCCGCCATCTCGGCCAGTCGGCGGGACATGGCTCCTTGGTGTTCTTCGCCATCCTGGCCGTCCGGGCTTATCGTAGAGCGCGGGCTCTCGGGCTTGGGGCCTGCAGACCCATCGTCGGGTCGGGATACCGTGGTGCTGAAAGCGTGGCGGCGTGGTCCGCGGCGAGGGATCAAGCTGTTGCTGCTGTTGCTGCTGCTGGTGCCATCGACAGAGCGACCCCGCAGCCTCTGGGCCCGTAGACAGCGCGCACAGGTCCAGATCTGGGAGCTGGACCTGCTCATCTTGGCTGATGGGAAGAGCTCAGGACGACAAGACGAAATCCACAGAATTAGCAAAGAAAGCGAAGGCAAAAGGGGACGAAAGAAATGATCATTTGGGGAATTGATGTTCCTTGAGGTCGTCAACGACAATCTGCTTTCTCCGCACATTCCGTCCAATCACGACGGTCAGTGCAGTAAGTGTAGATACAATTTCTATACAAATAGATGAACAGAAGCACCTTCTTATCAAGGTTTATGTATTGTTCTGGCTAGTATGATATGTCCGCAAGACTATTTTGATAGTTGATGACATGATTCCTCGTCGTCGGTGCCCCGCCCTTTCAACAGTACCTGTGTATTTGTCGTGCTAGACGCCCCTCGCAGTGGGCTTCGTTGCTGTCTGCTGTCTGCTGTCTGTAGGGGACTGATGATTGACGGTTGGCAATATCGGGTCATTCCTGTTTTGTCGTGTTCCACTCCTCTGCTGTTTCTGTCGTCGTCGTCGTCGTCATCATCATGCCGCCGTGCCTTTGGTGGTGGAAACATTCGACCTCCTGTTCCCTGATTCTGCTCCACCGCCATTCATATCATTGTCGTCGGCGAAGGTAGTGGATGCCAAATGCGCAAAAACATTGCATACACCAACGAGGAATGACAACCCTATGATGATCACCCCGGAAGCCCAAAACAGCAGCGTTCGTGAGATCAAGTAAAGACCTTCTGGTTGCTGTGTACGTAGAGTGCTAATCTCAAACTCGACGCATCTCCCTTGTTCGCTAGACACCACTGATCCCTTAGCTGAGATTCCGATTATCAAAGCGAATTGATGCTTATGAGGGCCAGGAAAGGAAGCAAAGGTATTCCGATCGCCTTCAGGACCAATATCAAGCTGAGACATTGCATCGACCAGGAGACAAGGCCCATGATGCGCTCTGATGAGTGTTCGGACGAACAGGCACGACGAGGTCGCGGATCCGAGTCCTGATCTGATGGAATAACATCAAGGTGCGTCTGGCTGAGGGCCCCATGTTTCCAGCTCAGGAAATGATGGTTGTCACAAGCGTTGAGGATGAAAGCCGCGAGGGGAGTACTGCTTATATTGTGGAGAACTGTGTCTGAAGCAAACTCTGACGGCCTGTCAGTGCTAGGTGTCTTTAGTCCTGCCGTCTTCTCTGCAATGTCGGGATGGCTGAAGAAATAAGAATGCGGTCGGTAGTATTGGAATATGAAGCAAGTGGCGCCTAGATGCCTTTGAGGGAATGCTGCGTTTTGTACTCGCATACATGTCCCATAAGCCTTTTGCGCAAAGGAGTGGAATCGCAACAGGACAAACATTCTGTGGATAACGTATGATCGTCTGATACAGGCAAGACTCCTGTAAACGTCCCAATAGCAAGGGCGGGATAGTCGGTAACTTCGCCCAGTGCCGCACCTTGACACCTTGGACCATGCTCCAGTTGAAGTTACTCCTGAAAAGTCAGCCTCGCGTAGCTTGGCCAGGTAATCTCAATGGACACCACATCATTTGCTGTCCATTTTGATTGCACCTTTAACTGGTAGTGACAGATCTGATCTGTCAAGGGGGGGGGGGGGAATTTCTCGTTGACTGCTGGCTAATGTTCACCAAGACTGACTCGTTCTTCTACGTTGCAGAATCTGCCCGGCCGGTATGTCCAATGCATCCAGAAGGTCCGGATTATCCTTGAACTCTGGGCTGTTAATGACATCTTGCGCCTTTGACATGTTTCTCTCAATGATGATTCCGGGGACTTCGCCGTCAAACACTGCAAACTCAGGGAGACCGTTCAGATCCTTTCCCGGGCTGCCCAAGACTTTGGCCAGGTACCTCATAAGTGATGTGAGTGCTCGCCGCTTAGCTTCCTCGTCCGAGTCTTTCGTGTTTTCTAATGTAGTAGATATAATTGCGGGCATGTAGTATGGCAGAACGGCCGTCTCGTTGACATTGCCGTCGACATTGAGACCCGCAACAAGCTGTTTCTTGTTTCCCTCATCTAGGGCGTTGAATGCTTTGGAAAATAACTCGGCTTGCTCTTTGTCTGTAGTCCGGCCCATGGTCAACAGGCGGAGCAGTGCCCGATCTTCTTGATCGCTAACACTGAGTCTGCGAAATCCCTTGATGTACAGCAAGTTCCCACGTTTGGTGAGGACTTTGTCATACCCTTGTCGAGGGTTGGATCTGCCCGCAATAATATCGAGAGAGACCTCATGTACAGTCTTGAAGGCTTGAAAGACAGGCTCGATGAAGCTCTTGGAGCCACTAGAGTCAAGATGACCCAGAGCGCCGGCGACGTCGAGAATTTGCTCCATGAACTTGAGCTCAAATGCGTGTTCATGGCCCCGCATGGCCATCAGCCCTTCTAGGTTGACAGGCACGCTTTCGGCTTGGGCCAGTTGGCCCGCATTCAGCTCCGATCCGAGTTCGAGACCTAGCATTACTTCCTGTCTTTTCTCCGCCGTGAGATAGTGCAAAGCCGGAACCATCCCAACCCTGGCTGCCGCCAATAGTACGGTATCATGGTTATGGTCCTCTAAGCGATGGCGGGTCTTGAAATAGTAATCTTCTTCCAGGTTGGGATCTTTTCCCAAATCATTGATTATCATCGAAACCACCAGGGCAAAAAGATCATCCGAATCCTCGATACCTCTCTCAAAGAGGTCGTACAGCCAGTGAAATGATTCCTCAGTCAAACGCGACTCGGGGATCTGGGGTTGCGTAAAGCGTTCGTAGTCACGGTTGTGGACCCATCGAAGGGCAAGAAGACCGACGAGCGTTCGGTTGACCTCGTCATAGTTGATACCGTAGAGAATTTGCGAAGGGCTCAACGCATCGGCTTTTCCATTTGCCGTCGCACGTTGCTCCTCGGTACCCTCGACAGCTCTAACACATTTCAGTCGTTCAAGTTCTGGGGAGAAAGCGTCTCTAATTTGGTGGAGGAGTGTGGTTTCGTCCAAGCAGTAAAAATTCCCGGCTCGAATGGTCTCTTGTAGAGCGCACGTCCGCTGGGTTTCGGCCGTCATCTGCATTGTCGCACAGGTCTCGAAAGATGAAGATCCTCTCTGTCGCCTCCCGATCTTGCGATTAATGTCATGATCGGGTGCGACTTGGTCTGCTGACAGGGCCACGCGATGATGACTCCTTCGTAAAGTCAGATCGAGGAAATAGTCACCGCTTTCTGGTGAATAGCGCATAAGAAGGGACGATTGCCATTAGGATGTGGCTGTGCAGACGCAATTTCCTCCCTTTTTGATCCCAATCTGGAGGAGCGGCGGAGGCCTCTTGAAAATTGTTGTCTAGAGTACTAAAAGAAGTCGAAGTGAATTAGGAGTCGGGAGAGGAGCAGATCAGGCATTATCTGTCACCAAGAGACTTCTCAGAACACTGAGGCTGAATATCCGCCTGGCAGAAGCAAGGCGTATTTGATCAACCACTGGGCGAAGCAACTTTGACTAGGAAAAGGCAATTGGCGAAGCCTGCGGCAGGAGAAGTCTGAGGTTGCAATGCGACTGGCCAAAACAGCCAGCAGTGCCCCACTACGCTGATTGGCCAGATTGACAACGCTGCTTTTAGGGTCTTGGTATAGGCCGACTGCGGATAAGACGAGCTGCGACCACAACTGCATTGAAGACTGTTGCTGCACTATCCTCGATTACCACCGAACCAAAGTTCCAGGTCTTGTGAGCCTTTCCACTAGACCAATATCCTCCTTACCCACAACCGGCGTTTGACCCCAGACCTTTAGCCTGTCAAGGAACACACGGCGTCACAGAGGAAGGGGCTTGGAGAGGCGGAGCTCCAGCTAGCGCCTTCGTTGAATAAAGAATCATGGGAAAAGGCCACACATCTCAGGCCAGAAATGCATATTGTGTGAGAGTAAGGGGGTCAGCCTTGCAAAATCATAGGACAATGGGATTTTTGGACGTCAAGGTTGGAGCATACAGGCTGCTACACCCTCTTAGTTCTCCAAAGATCCAGTGCTGCAAATGAAGGAGATGGATACAAGTCTACTCCTGTGCTTACTAGATACCCTTTTTGGTGCGGACGATTACGATTTCCACGACGGCATAGAATCACCCCCGGCACGATATCCAGCTTTGTCTTATAACTTTTGTACTTAGCCTGTTACGAGGTAGGTTAAAGGAGTAGGTAAGTATTTATTCAGAGACACAGAAGGGTTTAATAAATGCTATCAGCATGGCGACATACCAGACAGAAGGACTACATGCTATATCGAATTAGCGTCCTCCTTTCAGGCAATGGCGTACACCATGCCAGACTGATGTGAATGGGTTTTGTGACGCTGCAAAGGCAAGTGATTGTTGTTTGGATCGTTATCCACCTATCAAGGCTTTCCGTACTCTGTCACTTCGACTACGTGTTGTTAATGAGGATTGTGCTACCCTCGTGACTTGTCTTTTCTTGTCTCTGCTACTCATTTGGAACTTCACTTCTGTTTCCCACCTGCGCGACACTTTTCTTCCAGCTTTGCTCACGATCAACAGACCAGGGGGCCGTCATGACGAGATCACCTCCACCGAGGGGTCCGCCTCCTCCAAATCGCTTTATGCGCAGCCTTCAATCTTCTGCGAGAGCGATGCCGAGTAGCAAAAGACCAAGGACTGTAAACAACGATATTCCCGGCAACCCTCCTTACAACCAGGCTTCACCAATTTCATCTTCGAAGAAATCCAGAGAAAGTGCGCTCGACGCCAACTCTTCGCCCTACACCTTGAGCTTGATGCCATCAGCCCCTCCACCTCGAATTCGCACCGAAGAAAACAGTCCGCCTCCAGAGCTCTCCACTCTTATTGAGGCTGCTGTTGAGCGTACCCGCGCTTCTGGTCGACCATATCGGGCATCCAACAAGAAAATGTCTTCCGGCATGGCTCATGCTGAGCAGCCGACTGTCCACGCCGACGACCAGAACGTCATGTCAGATCTGGTCGGGATCGAAGCTGCACCAAAAGGAAGGACGGAGCAAAAGGAGGTGCCTACGGAGACG